CATGCAGGGTTCAAGCACACCATAAGCTAGAGACCATTCCCAAAGCTGTTTCTTATATATGGGAAGCAGACCACATATCCAAAGCAGCTACTCAGCTGCTCCAATAGATTCCACCACGGAGTTAATTATTAATCTCACCATGGCAAATAACTACATTCAGCTGTCCAGCCACTCAACCAGGCCCAGCCAAGTTGACACACAAACCTAACCACCACAGGGGCCTTCCCTTTTTTCACTGACCATCCACTTTACCAAGCATGACATCCTTCTCCAGGGAACGATTCTTTCTGACAACATGACCAAAGTAGGTGAGATGAAGTCTCGCCATTCTCCCTTCCAAGGAGCATTCTGGCTACACTTCTTCCAGGACACATTTGTTTGTTCTTTTGGCAGTTCATGGTACTTTCAGTATTCTTTGCCACAACTCAAACGCATCAACTCTTCTTCCATCTTTCTTGTTCATTGTCCAGCTTTCACATGCATATGAGGCAATTGAAATATCACCACGGTTTGAGTTAAGCACACCTTTATCTCCAAAGTGACATCTTTGCTCTTCAGCACTTTAAACAGGTCTTTTGCAGCAGATTTGCCCAGTGCGATATGACATCTGATTTCCTGACTACTGCTTCCATGGATGTTAATTGTGGACTAAAGTAGAAGGAAATCTTTGACAACTTCAATTTTTTCTCCATTTATTGTGATGTTGCTTATTGGTCCAGTTGTGAGGATTTTTGTTTTATTTTGAGGTATAATCCATACTGAAGATTGTATTCTTTGATCTTCATTCAGTATGTGCTTCAGGTCATCTTCATTTCCAGCAAGCAAGGTTGTTAATGAGTCTTCCTCTGATCCTGATGCCGTGTTCTTCTTCATATAGTCCAGCTTCTCAGATTGTTTGCTTAGCATACAGATTGAATAAGTATGGTGAAAGGATACAACACTGATACACAATGCCCTTCCTGATTTTAAACCGTGCGTGTTCTGTTCAAATGACTGCCTCTGTGTCTATGTACAGGTTCCTCATGGACATAATTAAGTGTTCTGAAATTCCCATTCTTCACAATGTTATCCATAATTTATTATGATCCACACAGTTGAATGCTTTTGCATAGTCAATAAAACACAAGTAAGCATTTTTCTGGTATTCTTTGCTTTCAGCTTGCTAAAACGACAAGGAGGCCACATGTTCCGACCTCCTCTAATTCCACAAAGGGAAGACAGGGTTACCAGCAGTAACCCAAGGCCTATTACTGCCAGGCCAGACATGTTGCCTCCCTCCAGTCCTTTCTCCAACCGTTCCTCCCAGAGCACCCACCACCTCTCCCCTGGGTTCGATAATTCACT